TGTGGCTGCGAATTATCATGAACATGTCAATTCATCGGGATGTACACCAGTGATACTAGGTGTCAGTGAAGCGACAGCGCGCAATAGGCACGGAAGGTAAGGGAAAAGCGCAGGGCAGGCCGGGGCAAGAAGATGGGAGTGACGGCTACGCTTGGACCAGGCCAAAGTACCGGAAACTTCTTCCGTCATAGGGGGGCCTGTAAGGAGCCGGGGGCTTGCTTCGGGGGTGGGGCCGCGCCTGGCTGTTAGTGGGCTTTTTTCCCGCCATCAAAGTCGCAAGTTCGCAAGACACGCTACGTCATTGACCATCACAGCCTGCTCTGTTGCTGCACCCACAAGCTGCAGCTGAAGGGACAGAGGTGCTAACCCAACCTGAGGTAATGTACACCATGTACTAAGTAGGTAATCATGGTGAAGCGAGCTAGCTGGCTAGAGCTGAAGGGGAGCTATGAGGCAATTGGAGGGGCTCGTTTCCCACCTCGTCCATTTCATGGGATTGCCGGTTGGTTAGGTTCCCTTTCCCCCCCCTTTGCCCTGCTGGTCTGCTGGATGATCTGCATCCCTATGATTATATCCCTATCCCCCGAGACCTTTAACCTCCGCACATTTCGATCTTGCCTGTGTGGTCTTCCTCTGCTCAATTCTCTTTGCCTTTTTGCTCTTTCGTGTTTACCCGAACACTAGGCAACTGATTTGGATCTTTGACAGCGTAGTCTCAGCTACGACTGGTCTCTAATCTTCATCCACATCCCAGACAATAACACCCTAGAGAATCAGGCGTTGTCCATGGTAGCAAGATGAACTACGACGAACACACGGTGCCGACCGGCGGCCAACACTACAGCGGCCGAAACCGCATCCCCAACATTCACGAATTCGTTGCCCAGCTCGACAAGGAGAAGCGCGAGCGCGACGCTGCCATTGAAGCCGAGGATAAGGAGCACGCGAGGATCGCCAAGGAGGCTGCCCGCCAGCAGCAACAGAACGGCAACGCCACACAGCAGCAACAGCAACAGCAACAACAACAAAATCTCCAAGACACAAAGGATCATGTCCCCGAGAAACCAAAAGGTGCTCGCAAGAAGACCAAGACCGTGCGGGATCCCGTCACTGGCAAGGATGTCGAGATTGAGAACCCAAAGGAAAACTTCAAGGACGTTGTTGAAAACCCTCACGTGAGATCATCCCAGAATCCTTCGTTTCTCGCCGGGCATCAAGTCCCGCCCGCTCTGGAACCCGTGCTAACACGACAATTGGCAGATATCCGTCCCCAACAAGAACCTCGGAAAGGACGCTACAGTCTCCACCTCCCCTAACCAGTCCGGCGAGGAGTACCGATGGGCCCAAGATGTCACGGCACCGCCCGACCCCGTCGAGCCCGGTAGCACCACCGACGTGCCCATTCACAGCGAGAAGACCAACGTGAACTTTTTCCACACCCCCAGCGTCAGCTACGAGCCCATGTTCGAGCACCTCGAGAGACGCGGCAACATTTTGTGCGCTGCTATCTTCTTCGCCATCGTCATTGTCGGCAAGTTCTTTGGCGGCTCGCTCTATGGCCTGCTTCCTCTCGGAGCTTGCGTCGCCTCTGGCGTCTTTCTGTGGATAAAGGACCTCATTACGCAGGGGAGAAACACCGAATGGTCTAGTGAGCAGGCGCGTGGCGAAACAGCAACCGTCAACCTGGTCCCCGAATCCGTCGAGGTGCGTGGTACTCATTTCTGCACAGCGATGACATAAGCTAACAAAGCTCAGTGGATGAACACCGCCGTCGGCATCATGTGGAATCTTATTAACCCCGAGATGTTTGCTGGCGTTGCCGATACTCTCGAGGACGTCATGGTTGCCTCAGTGCCCGGCGTCATCGAAAACGTGCGCGTTGCCGACATTTCGCAGGGCAGCAACCCGCTCCGTATTCTCAGCTTGCGCGCCCTTCCCGATAGCCACGTCAAGGACATCAAGGACGAGGCCCACAAGCAGAACCAGAAGAACACTGACCCCAACGAACTGGCTGCCATGGAGCAGGCTGGTGACTTCTACAACCTGGAGGCCTCAGTTGCTTACCACGCGAAGCCGTCTGGCTCTGACGTTTCGTCAAAGGCTCGCAACATGGGAATGCAGCTTGTCTTTTACCTCGGTATTCGAGGTCTCTTTGGTGTCCCCCTCCCAATTTGTAAGTGCACCAAAATAATCCATGTCTCTGGCTTCATCTAACGACTCGTAGGGGTCGAACTTCAGGGACTTGTCGCCACCGCCCGTATCAGATTGCAGCTTACCCCTGAACCGCCTTTCCTCAAGACCCTCACTTTCACTCTGATGGGTATTCCCAAGGTTCAGGCTGGTTGCACGCCAATGATTGAAAAGGGAGTCAACATTCTGAACCTGCCTCTCATCTCCAACTTTGTCAACTGGGCCATCGGCACCGCCGCTTCAATGTACGTCGCTCCCAAGAGCATGACTCTTGACTTGAGCAAGATGCTGCAAGGCGACGACATCAAGAAGGAGACGCTTGCGCTCGGACTACTGTTCATCCGCATCCACAAGGCAACGGGCCTCAGCAAGCAAGACCGCCGGGGCAGTGAGGGTGGAGGCTCCGACCCCTACATCACCGTCGCCTGGAGCAAGTTCTCCAAGCCCCAGTTCTGTACCCGTGTCATCCAGGATGATCTCAACCCCGTCTTCGAAGAGAGCTGTGGTCTGTTGGTCACAGCCGACTTGATCAAGGCGGATGAACAACTTTCGGTTGAACTTTGGGACAGCGATCGCTCATCTGCGGACGATGTCGTTGGCAAGGTCGAGTTGAGCATTCAGAAACTCATTCAGCACCCCGGCAAGATGTTCCCCCAGGTTTCCAAGCTTGCCGGCGTCAAAGCCGAGACCTCTATGCCTGGCGAGCTGCACTGGGAGGTTGGCTTCTTCGGCAAGACCCAGTTCCGCAAGGCTCTTCGTACCGATGGTAAGGACGTCAACCTGCCTCCTGAACTGAGGGACAAGAAGGAGCTTCAGGACGAAAAGGGCACCATTGAAAACGACATGGAGGATGCTGTCGAGCACACTCCTCCCGACCCTCTCTGGCCCTCTGGCATTCTCAGCATCGTCGTTCACCAGATTGTTGGATTGGAGCTCGCCAATGTGAAGGGTTCCAACGGCAAGCGCAAGGGACGCGAGTACGAACCCGCGCGCCTCGACGCTGGCGAAGTCAAGGAGGAACAGGGCAGCAAGCTGCCAAGTTCCTACTGCACAATTCTCGTCAATGATGAACTTATCTACAAGACACGTACAAAGGCGGTCTCCTCGCAACCCATCTTCAACGCCGGTACCGAAAAGTTCATCCGCGATTGGAGGTCTGGCATTGTGACAATCACTGTCCGCGACTCCCGCAACAGGCAACACGATCCCATCATTGGCGTGGTCCCTCTAAAGCTTTCCGATATTTTGCGATCTGGAAGTGAAGCCACAAGATGGTACCCTCTCGATGGCGGAGTTGGATACGGAAGAATCCGCATTTCCCTTCTCTTCAGGTCTGTTGAACTGCGTCTGCCTCCTGCTCAGCTTGGCTGGGATGTGGGTACATTCGAGTTCACGTCTCAGCAAATCACTGCTGCTGGCTACGGTAAACTGAAGACCAAGATTCGCCTTCGTACTGGTGGCAGCTCTTCTAGCATCAAGCGAGACGCTTGTAACAAGCTGGAGGAGCAAGACGGCTTTTCCTGGGACATCAGTGGCGATGAGAAGCATGACAAGATCCGTCTTCCTGTTCGCTACCGCTACAGATCCCCAGTCTTCTTCGAGTTTTACCCTCCCGGCAAGCGTCATGCCGACGCATTTGCGTCACTGTGGCTCCAGGACTTCCCGGATTGCGAGGAACGCGACTTTGATATTCCCATCTTCAACTGCGACAAGGGTCTGCGCCTGTCACAGAACTACATCACCCAGGACAACTTCAAAGACATCCCTGACATGAAGATTGAAGAAATTGGTCGACTTAGATTCAAGGGTCGTTTCTCCACTGGTACCGATGGTGATCACGTCAAGTTTGTCACTGACAACGATTCGCGTGAGACAATCGAGACCTGGGAGGCCTGTTTTGCGGAGGGAGTACGAGGCGAGGAGGTCCGAGCCGAAGTGCCCCCTGCTGTTCAGAAGCTGCATGACGAGTCTCTTACCCAAGGCCGCGATGTCCTAGCTCAGACCGACCCGAATGAGAAAGAGAAGTGGCTCTCCAAGGACGGAACCGATTGGAGCACTGCCTTTGGAAAAGATCCCACGCAGATGATGGGTGGCGATAACGAGAATCAGGAAGACCTGAACTCGGAGGGACGTGATGCTTTTGATACGGATTACGACGATGATGAGAACAGCAGTGAGCCGGATCTCGGGCTCACAGACGCCAGCACTAAAGACACCAGAGCGAGCAGCAACGGCACACGTCAATCAACAGACAGCAACGCGAGTGCGGCTCCCTCAGACGCATCTCAGCAAAGCAACGGAAACGGACCTGTTGCCGCCTACAAGGACTACAAGAGCAGGAGCAGAGACCTGCACCGTCAACATCGGGGTCTGATGCAGTGGCGTCCGATGCGTAATGTGCAGTTCGCCAAGGACGAGGCCAAGTTTGCGATCCGGAAGATTACCAAGATGGGTGCTCTCAACGGTCGCAAGCCCGATGTCGAGACCGAAGTCTAAGTCCGTTCTTTTTGTCGAGAGAAGAGGAACAAGGGGGCCACGCGACAACGGCTGGGGTTACAGGAAACAGGGTACAGTCCGTTTTTTTTGACAGCCTTGGTAATGTTTATGAAGTATACCTACATGAAATAAATTGCGATGAATGGGAGGAAGGCGTTTGGAGGTGTATCAGTAGTCAAAGCAGGCAAATAATAGTTTTGAACAATTCTCGACCGTGATTCTGTGTAAGTCATGTCTCCGGAAGAACGTTTCGAAAAAGTCGAGTTATCAGTAGGCTAATCTACCCGCGTCTATTGTGGTCTATCTAACAGAGTCTAGAGGCTTTCTTCTTTATCACTCACGTCTGTCTTCCCCTTTCCACGTCCACCGAACCCCCATCCGATCTGGTTCGCCATCTTGACATTGACCCCAAGCTCATCGGCATACGCATACACCAGACCGGGATTCTTCTGGAACCACCGACCGCACATGATCACATCCAACCCCTCCTGAAGGAACCCCTCCGCCATGGTCCCCGTACTGATCCCACCCACAGCCGACACAAGCATCCTCTCCCCGACAACCTTTTTAATCTCCTTTGCGAAACCGGCCTGGTACCCGGGTCCGCCCTTGATGCTCGTCGCCTGCAGCGGATGAATCCCGCCGGAGCTCACGTCCAGCAGGTCGACGCCCCGCTCCGCGAGCAGAGGCGCCAGCCTACACGAGTCGGCGAGCGTCCAGCTGTGCGGGACGAGGTCCGTCCTGTCGTCGAACCAATCCGTCGCGCTGATGCGGACGAAGAGCGGCATCGTGTCCGGGATCGCGGCGCGGACGAGGGAGGTGATTTCGAGGACCAGACGGGTGCGGGTTTCGAAGGAGGAGGAGCCGTAGGCGTCGGTGCGGGCGTTGGAGATTGGGCTGAGGAATTGGTGGAGGAGGTAGCCGTGCGCGGCGTGGATTTCGACGACGTCGAAGCCGGCTTGGACTGCGCGGCGGGCGGCGGCGACGAAGGCTTCTTTGAGGGATTCGATTTGCGGGAGGGTCATTTCCTTGGGGAGGGGGTATGCGTCGTTGAAGCGGAGGGGGGAAGGGGCGTAGACTTCGTCTGGCCAGCCGTGTGCTTCGGGGGGGGAGGTCGCGTTGGCGTGGACGAAGGGGGCTACGGTGCTCGCCTTGCGGCCTGCGTGGGAGAGCTGGATGCCGATCTTTTGGGACTGGGAGTGGGCGAAGTCGGTGATGCGGCGGAGGGGCGGGATCTGGGCGTCGGACCAGAGGCCTAGGTCTTGCGGGGTGATGCGGCCTTCCGGGAGGACGGCGGTGGATTCCATCAGGGTTAGGCCGGGCCCGCGTTGGAGGATGCCGCCCAGGTGGGTCAGGTGCCAGTCTGTTGCTAGGTTTCCGGCTGGGGGCGAGGCGGAGTATTGGCAGAGGGGGGCGAGGAAGAGGCGGTTCTGGAGGGTGAGGGAGCGGATTTTGAGGGGGGTGAAGAGTTTTGGGAGGGGGGTGGTGGTGGTTGTGGTGGAGGGGAGGATGGCTGTTCCGGAGGGGGGAGATTGGGATGGGGTGTAGTAGGGTGCGTTCTTTGCTGCTGGGTTTTCGATGAGTTCGAGGGGGAGAGGGGTTGGTGATTTGGTGGCGTGGGAGGTCATCTTGAGAGCTGGGTTGGATGTTTGGAGGTGAGGATGTAAGACGAGGTTGGATGGCGGGATAAGGGGCCTATTGGAATGGAAATGAGAAGTTGGCACTTTTATACTGAATAGCGAATTCGATTCGACTTCAAAAGCTTCATCTTAGACTTGGTAGATCGTGTGTTTTGTCAGCACCGTGTGCTACCAAGGTCTGTTGCCGACATCTTCTCGGCGCGTGTCGTTGATGGCCGAGTGGTCCGGCCCGTACTGTGGGGCTTCGGCCGTTTGATCCGTGGTGTCAACGGGCCGGGCACGATTCGGTGCGCACCGGAGCACCGTGAACCATCAAGTGAAGGTCTTCCTTCGGGAACTTCTTCCGCTAGGTAAAAAGGATTCTACGTGGTAGCTTCTGAAGAGTGGCCGAGAAGCTTGGCTTGGCGGCTATGAGAATCTGTTGATGGTGTTCGGCACCGGACATGATTCACCGTCGGCCAGATGGCTCATCTTGCCGAGGGTTGATTCTGTACGCTGGGTTTTTGCGATTTGACGTAAGCAAGACTCAAATTGCAAGCCAGATACCTCAAGCACAGAGATACTTATTTGAGATTCCTTGGGTTTGGAGAAAAAAAAAGTATGCTGATTACTTTACGCCTACTTGGCCACAGTCTTGTAGATGGAGTTATACCCACAAAGCGACTCCTCCTCCAGCGTCGCAAAATCCCGCCCACCAAATCTCTCCGGCTCAAGGGCCTCCAACGTCTCCTGATCTACCCCCTCCCCATTCAAAAGTTTCGTCAAAAACTTGGCCGTCCCAGCAGCGTGAGTAACCCACACAGCAACAGCCATGTGCAACCCAGGCACCGACCTCACCGCGCCAGCGAGCGGCATGTTATCAGGCGTCATGGAGAAGATCCCGTTGAAGCTCCTGCTCTTAGTCTGATCCTCACTCACATCCTCCTCAAACTCCGCCGCGGTCGCGGGAGGCAGCATCTTCCTAGCAGCCTCGAGCGTCTGCCGGAAATCAGGGATCCAGACCCCGATCGCCGTCCCGTCTTCCGCGTTCGGCGCGCAGCCTACGGGCGGGTGGTCGTAGCTCCCGATGCCGTAGCGGGTGCCGTGATCTCTGGCGTAGACGTGGTGTTCCGGCCAGCGCACAAAGGGCAGCGACGTCGATTTCGATTTCGGGTTTGAGTTTTCTCGGGGAGGCAAGGGGGTTCGGGTGCGGGCGTGCATGTAGGGGTGTCCGACGGGGATGACGGGGACGGGGAAGGGGAGGTCGCGGCAGAGGTCGCGGGCCCAGATGCCCGTTGTGAGGATGACTTTATCGGCTTCGAGTTGCTGTGCGGAGCCGAGGTCGAGGACCTGGACGCCATTGATGCGGCCGTCTGGTGTGAAGAGGAGCTTCTCGACGGAGCTTTGTAGGAAGTTGACGCCTGCTTTCTTTGCAGAGTCTTGGTAGAATGAAGTGATTCTGCATGCGTCGGCGGTCCCGTCGGTGGGGAAGAAGACTGCAGCCCCTGCCCCCGACGAATCTTTTCCGTCTTCTTCTCTGACGAGTTCCGGCGCGAGTGTATGTGCTTCTCCCAGGCTCAACATCTCAGCGGCTAGGCCGCGCTGTGAGGCGGCTGCGCACCTGGCCTTGAGACGCTCGCATCCTGCGGGCTGGAAGGCGATTTCTAGGCCGCCGACGGTGTCGAAGCCGCCGGGGATTTTGGTGTATTCCGATACGGAGTCGATGGCTAGTTTGGTGAGGACTGGGGACTCGTTGAATTGGCCGACGAAGCCCGGTGCGTGACCTGTTGAGCCGAGGAGGGGACCGAAGGAGCGGTCGATGAGAGTGATTGTTCGTGGAGTGTTTGATGAGGATGATGATGAGGAGGAGAGGAAGTGGGCTAGGGCGGAGCCGACGATGCCTGCTCCGACTATGATGATGGTTTCGCGAGGTTCAGACATTTTGGAGGATTTAGGACTGGGTTGGATGTGTTTGTAAGTGATGTTGTGTGGTACTATGCGAAGAGCTCTTGGGAAAATGATGGGATTATATACTTTTGGTCTCGAATTGAGTACATCCCATGTTGTCATATCATTTTCGCAGTATTCAATGGGCGAAGTCTTTACATGTCTCCCATTGATTCGGGAACCAAGACTCAAGACTTCCGTGTTTGGACAAGGGCGACGGCTTTGACCAATCACATGAAGAGTTCCTCACTCACTTACACCACGAAGCTGAGACCCGCAAGCTTGTCGACACGCCTTTGGATGTGGGATTCAGACAATGCGGTCTAGCGAGGTGGGGCAAACTACACGCTACAAGCAAACCATCTAAAGCAACTTAAGTTAAGTAGATGCATTGTAACAACTGATTCACATGTAGATGTGTATAAAGAAGCAGAAACTCCCTAGGGAATGCTATCACGACAGTTCAGCAGGGCGGCTACCCTCCACTTCCGCAGCTCTCGTATAAGCCGAAAGCTCAACGGGAGGCGGCGTGGCAGCGTTGACTTCCGTCATCTCTGTTCCGTGGCCGGGCAACTCTTGCTTCGCATCGTACCCAAACCCTTTCTGCCCATATCCTTCATTGCCCGTATTGCCCTCATTCTGCGCGGCAATGACGACCGCAGCCCTCTTTTGCTTCCTCTTCCGAAGGCATATAAGTAACCCGGCACCGAGCAGCAAGAGAACCAGCACCACCGCTCCAACCGCGATCCCCGCAATAGCACCAGCCGAAAGACCTGCCCCTCCAGCAACGCCAGAGGCCTGGGAGGAGGGAACACGACCGTAGAGCGGAAAGACGGGGTGTTTGACCGAGAGGGGTCCCCCGGCAACACTGGGGAGACCGGTGAGGGAGGTTTTCCTCCACGAGCTCCAGAGCGTCGACTCCCGCCCGCCGCTCGTCGCGACATTGTTGATCCAGATCTCCGTGTTCGTGCTCAGGAGACTGACGCAGTCCCGGTAGGGCGTCCCGCCCGGCGTGGGCACGAGGCAGGTGTACGAGCTCGGGCAGCACCACGTCTGGGTGTACGTCTGCGCGCTCTCGAGGGTCAGGGTTGTCTCGCACGCTGTCGTCCAGCCGGAGATGCAGGCTGTGCCTGGGTAGGCTACGCTTGCGACGTCGCCTGATTCATCGTCTTGTCAGCGTCGTTTCAGTGCTTTTTTTCACAATTTCATGATTCTCACTGAATGTATTCCCGGATGGTCGCCAGATTGCGGCGTAACTCTCGGGAAAGCATTGCGTTGGTAGGCTGGCTGTGGTCTCGGCCACGACTTGGTCTCGCAGGCACTCGACGTCCCCCGTGAGATCTTCCATCTTGCCCACAAGGCAGCGAATGTCGACGGGAGAGCAGAGGTCGTTGGGTGGTGTGAAGGGGGTTGTCTGCGGTGCCATAGAGAGGATCTTGGTCTGCTGGAAGCCGCCCGGTGTGAAGGTGAGTGTTACGAGCAGAGGCTCGTACGTCGTTTTTGAGGACATCGCGAGGTATCTGCCTAATGTTTGCTCGCTTGGTCGTGAAGGAGTATGCTTTTTTCTTTTTGCCTTGACCGCACAGGTTGGGGTGAAGGAACACAGAGAGTTCCAAAATTTTCTGCCTGGTTTGTGGGTGCTGGAGAGTATTGGTATCTTTGATGTATGTGACTTTGCTAGTGGCTCAGTGTCCTCGTGGCAAGATTGTTTCCCATCACACAAGGCTTACTCTGCCCTCTGTTTGGAGAAGTTGGTCCTGATTTTGGCTGCGCATATCGCTCAGCCTGCTTACGGCCAAGGACCATAGTTATCTAGTTGCATATGTTGTGTTTCCATTACGATAGGCCGAACCTTTCAGAGTGTGGGACAAACCAGTCTGATATTATCAGTCTCTGTCGTGATCAACATGACCACGGCTGCCTCAATATAGGACTTCAGTCATGTAATTCGGAGTGCACCAAGATCGTGCACACGCAAGATGTTCTCCAATGCTATGAAACTAAATATCACAAAGTCTAAATTGATTAAAGGTGCTCGACCAAAAACGAGACAAGTCCAAATAAGACAGCATTTGCTATGAGACTGACTTTAAGACTATTGCATTCTTTCTGTACTTTACCAGAGAATGTCTACGTCTATATTAGAGCAGAGAAAATCCTTCAACGGGTCAGGAGGCGCCGGATCATTTGCCAAGCTCCTCTGGAACTCAGTCCTCAACTTGGTCATTGGCTGTAATACCCAGGTGTTGAACGACAAAATGTCCGATTCCTCCTTTGGGTCCCTGACGGTGTTAAACAAGTAAGGCGACTCGAGCCGACCCGACGACTGGTTGACTTTGGGTTCCCAGACGAGATGCAGCTTCCAGTCCTTCCATTTGATCGCTCGCAGCTCTTCTTTGATGTAAAACAAGAAACCCAGCCTCTCGGATCTGACGCTGGCCGGGTCCTTGAAGAAGATTGTCTGATCGATGCCGTCGATGGGGCGATCGTCTGGAACTCCAGACTTGGTGACGGACAAAATTGTTGTGAAAATGTCCGTTACGTGAACGATCTCGTTGGACGTGACGCCTTCTGGGACGTGACGCGGCCACCGTATGATGAAGGGCACGCGCAGGCTGCCTTCCATGGCAGTGTGGTATGTCCCCGACCACGGCCCCGCCGTGCCCCTGTACGGCTCCCTGAACTCGGGACCATTGTCGGAGGCAAAGATGACGACTGTGTTTTCCCGGATTCCGAGGGAGTCAATGTGGTCAAGGATTTGGCCTACGCGGTAATCCATCTCCGCCATGGAGTCGGCAAAGTCGCCTTGTTTGGTAGTTCCCGCAAAGTCCTTGTGAGGCAGCGTCGGGAAGTGAAGGTGGACGAGAGGGTGGTAGAGGAAGAATGGCCGTTCAGCCGCAACTTGACGAGACAGCCAGTCCTTAGATTTCTCCACCAGCATCTCGTCGATGAGTCTCCTGGCCTCCAAGTCGTAGACGCGGACATTCTCTGACTTTTGCCCAGCAACTCCCTTCATGATGTGCGGCATTTCCGCCACTTCGGGAGTATACCCAATCGCAGACGTAAACTGCGTCTCATCCGTCGTCCGCGGGATCCCAAACCACTCGTCAAAGCCTCTGTCCGAAGGATACCGACCGGGGACATCTCCCAGATGCCACTTCCCGTGGTGCGCAGTAGCATAGTCGTTCTCCTTGAGACACTCAGCCAGCGTCCGCTCCCACGGAGTCAGACCCTGCGGGAACCCCGCGGGGACGGATTGTCGGCAGCCGGTCCGGATCGGGTGCCGGCCCGTCATCAGCGCGGAGCGGGTTGGCACGCAGTCGCTCTCCACGTTGAAGTTGTGCAGCAGGAGACCTTGCGTCGCGAGCTTGTCGATCCGGGGCGTTGCGGCGCCGCGGAGGGCGCCACCGCCGTAACAACCCAATTCACCCCAGCCGAGGTTGTCGGCTAGGATCAGGATGACGTTTGGACGATCTGAGTCTCGAGACATGATGTATGTGCAAAAGATGAAGGATTCGAGCGGAAAGGGTTTGCCTGCAGACAAGAGTTATGAGGAAGGTATCGATGTTGAGCCCCACGTTCGTTTGATTCGCGGGTTGCGTACCATCACGCCATAGACGGAGGTGACCTCCGTCTGCAAACCCCCGTCTACAACTTCATATGACAACAACCTTTTGAGACGCCAACGACAACCCTTAATTGTATCGACTGTAAAGCAACATTTCAACGTGATGTTTCTTTTCGCGATGAACATGTTCAAAGATAAACTTAACTCGCGTCATATGGTGAAACTTACTGAAAGACACTTACTACAGTTTGATACGATGGAAAGGAAGGGATCGAATCGTTGTACTAGTCCAAAACCATTGCATTTCACTTTCCTACTTGAATTCTATAGTCTCAACCGATGAGACAACCATTCGCTTAGACGCTGTACCATCCTTCCATGCCCCGTGCTACTGCTACTCATTCCGTAGCCCGTGAATATTGGTACAGAAAGAGGTATACTTCCACAAAGTCAGTATGTAATCAAAAACATTGAGCAAGTATAGAAAGCTACTTAAACGCAAACGCAGTTGTATCTAGGGTCAAGCTTGAGACCGCAAACACAACCGCCAACTCCTCCCAAGATGTTTGTGCACCGATCGCCTGCCTTTGGGCACTGCTGCCAATTCTCGCGCTTGACGGCGGGTTGCTCTGATGCAGGCGCGGCCGAGACCAATCCGGCAACAAGGGCTACGGCTCCGAAGAGAGTTGAGAACTGCATTGTGGTGTAAGTTGAGGAGGTTTAGTGAGAGGACAGTAGAGATGAGTTATGTCTGAATTATTGAACTGAGGTCTACCACGTAAGTGTAGTACCATGCGGGTGCAGCAACGACGCTTTTTGAAGACACCATCCTACCGTCGGTGTCCTCGGAATACGATGATACGAACGTCCCGGGGACTTAAGGCACATGGCCCTTGCGGTAAAGGGGAAGATCACGACTGGCAGGTAGATAATTGCCGGGCTGGCCCACGAGGGAAGTTAAGCCACGAGCTACGACTCATTCAACCGCCAGATGTGGATAGACATTCGAGAAATATTTAATTAACTTTGGCCTACATTGACAAAAGATGGGTCCGGCTTTCGAATCCCGAACAGTGAGATTCATGAACTAGAACTTGTCAAAAGGCTTAGTTTGGTTAGTTACGCTTTCATGCAAACCGAATCAACGTCTAGGACATTGAAACTGAGAACCGAAAGCTTGGCAGGTCGAGCAGTTGTGAATAAGTAGGAACTCGGATAGCTCACCTATATCGTATGCAACTGGCCATGAGACACCTTCCCTCACGAGCCACGACATACGACGATAGTGTCCAAGATTGGGAGGGAACAATCGCTTGATTAAGTTTGCAAACGGGATTACTGAAAGGGCCGGCGGGATACGGAATAGGCGTGATGAAGATATGAAATGCCGGTGGGAGGAGAGCTGGGAACCCGGTACGGGGAAGGA